AAGAAAAAAGGACTTCAAGGTGCAAGATCGAGTTTTAGTTTTTCAACATCTTTGCAGGTGAGATACCGGTATGTTCCACAGCGGTCCAGATGAATGCGCTAGGAGTTTCATATTTTCGCAGTCAGGGAATGCGAACCCTACGCCAGTCGTGCGCTAAATTTCAGGAAGGATACCTATTCCCATGTCCTAACTCTAACCTTAGCCATAACACCAACCCTAAACTTAACCCTATCCTTAACCTTGACCTTAACACTAGCCCTGATCCTAATCTTCCTGGAATTTTACGCAAGGCATATTCCCGTGTTCTACCGTTCTGTCCAACTCCTTCATGCGCCTGAGCCAAGAGGTCGATTGGTCGTAAGTGGACAGGGCTCTACAGACTGGCCGAAGTCATGTGTGTCCGCAATAAAGAAAGTGCGATTCCTGGATAACATCTAAAAGCCGGTCACTAAAAGTCGACTCGACGTCTGAGTCATGAAACAGCAGAGTCGAAAGTCTTCGAGCAAGTGGCCAGTACTGAAGTCATTGTTGTCTTGTATGCATGACATGGTCACTCCTACGCCCTTGACATATTCGTGAGCGTTATCGCTTCTGATGGCCGAGCTACTGCCTAGGCAGAGGCCAGAAACAATTTTGGAGGAGGACCCGACAAATTATTGCTAGGGAAGTCTCTACACAATCATCATGGCACTCGGCACTCATCCGTGGCTCTAAGTGACCATCTTCATGAGGCAGCGAATACACCTGGGGAAGCCGCCTCAACCGGCTAGTTGAATCACGTGGGAGTACATGGTAGGTTCAAACCTCGGTGGGACATCAATCTCCATGTCATAGAATGCGGTCAACTATGATATCCAGTGACCGGAGTGCCGATTCTGCAAAGCTACACAGGGTGCAGGGGAAATGACATGGTACAGAAGGCACAGAGCTATCCATCACAAATATCGAAGTTCTCTAATATTATCGACTAATTGTGGTAGTGGATCCTGAATTCGGAAGGCAACAACTACTGGACTTTAAAACGTATCTACCATGGACACCTGTGTGGGGGTTCGGCTCATCGATCGATCCCCAGCCCTCTCCGTGTGCTTTCTGGTAGATACTCCAGTTTGAAATTTCAGCTGTTTGATTTCCTCGGAAATTAGTCGCTAACTTGGAGTAAATCAGTATATTTGAGAATTACAGACCTAAACTGAAATTTTACGTGACTATTCGGGTCGAGGTGCATCAGTCACAGCGGAATAACCGCGTAATATCCATAAACTGCCAACAGGCAGCCAGTAATGTATACATCAGTTGAGCGACATACCATAATCTGAATGCGCGCACGAGTCCAACGTTCACAGAAATAGTCTTTCTTGTATTCATTTGGTAGTCAATAACGTTGTTTTCAAATGTTACACTCATAGAAAGGGTATATGAAGGTTGTATACAATTTTTTTAGATGTCCGAATAACTATGAGCCAGACCTGCAAGTACACTTGTGCCCAGGGTTTTCAAATTACATGTTATGTACTTTCCGTGTAGGGAAATCATACATTTCTCTACGTTATTAAGAAGAGGTCATATAGGGCTCGTATAATTTCGCAGTGCGTGTGGACCACGTTGCGTATTTCGTAGGTATCGCTGGCAACGGTAGGTTGTGTAACCCCACTTCGCAACCAGTAACCCCACGCTCGTGCAATACGGGAATGGTGGTAATACGGATTTTACAGGTGGGGCATCACCGCAGAGAGAGAGAGAGAGAGTGGAATACATGCAACGAAACTTTAAAAATGGGTAGATTTCCGCTGAGAATTTTTCTCTACGCCTACATATAGCAACGGAAATGAGAGTGCTAATTGAAAAGTAAATAATAAACAACTCCAAATAAATAAAATGTGGTCGAATAATGCGCCACTTGCAAATTTGCGACAGCTCAGGAACCAATGGAATGAACAACTAATAGGAGAGAAGAACGGCAAGTGCCAAATATTCCAACTGCGGAAATAAACTGCGCGGTGGCGTAATGTACATGAGTATTTGAGAAGCTATGAAAATACACCCTAATAAGGGACAAGTCAAATAACGCAATTATGGACGCCTGTTTGTATCTTCATAATAAGTCAACTGACAACTGCAAAGTAAAAATTTTGGGATAATAAATATTTATATGCAAAGTTTATTTACAATAATGAAAAGCTTTTATGAACAGGGTAGGTAATAATGGTTGCTTTTCCCTCCTAAAATACAGACAACTGACTCCAGATCGCAGAAAAGTCAGAAAACCGCAGCTTGATTTTCTGACCAAGGCGGAAGAAATAATCCAAGTTATAAACTCGAAGTTGTTAGAATACTGCCAAGCAAGGGGATTGCTATCTAGTGTGACAAAGTGCCAATACGGACGCCAAATGCGTCAGCAAGTAACGAGGCTGCACACTAACTGATATGTGTTCCGGTACGGCCGATGTCGAAGGAGGAAAGCTCTAGGGGTTCCGGTGTCACATCGGGTAATATGGACCCACGTAGACGGGGTTCAATATCGTCTGTGGTTTGACATAAACAGCATTGGCCTAAAGTAGGCGTATGAAATATCCCCGTCACACATTGCGAAAGCATATCTGGTGAAACAGCTTCCCGCACAGGGAACCCGAAGGACTCCTTCCTGAACGTAATCTAATGACCATTTGTAGGCAAATTTTTGTACACAAACTCAACTCAATTTAACTGTCTTATTATTGGTTATGTTAAGGACTACGCAAAGGTATTCTTGAAGTAAGTCATGGCGTACGCGTTCGACAATCGAGACTATTCAGGGATATCATGGAAGCTGAGCGTTTGTACTCTAACCGAGGAAAAATAGACCAAGTGCCAAGTAACTTGTTACTAAAAACATACTGAAACAATTCGGCGCTTGTGGTTATATCAGTCTGCCGGGTAAAATTCAACGGGTGACTTCCTGTAGCTATGAATTGGTAAACTAAATAAGGTCTACTAAAACAAATATAGTAGTTGGTTGTGTATATTAAACATGGTGGGGTTACACAACCTGTCTTTATTGCCCATTAATAAATGAACAGACACGATGCTATATGCATGAACATTTCTCTGTCCTAAAATATCTCAGAATTACAGGCCTTCAAAACTGTAGAAACTCCTTCTTTTAGTATAACATTTGATAAAAACGCAATTTGCTACCAAATAAGTGCACGAAGGATTATTTTTGCGCATGTTTCCCATAACGCATATTTGCATCAATAAGGGCATCGAAAAGCAACGGGGAGAATGCAAACTGCATAAGTAACCACGTCATACTGAGTGCAGGCGACCGGAAAGAAGCCCATTCAAAAGGCGACATACCGGTGTGACAGAAATATCTTGGAATCGTGCTGCGAGGTAACCAATGTCACAACCTCACCCAAGTGATCCTTTTTAATTAGGAGAAAAACATTCCCGAATCTCGGTTAACATTCCATGAGATAGGCGAACTACCGTAGTTGGCCCTAACTAAATGACTTAAAATAAACCACTTTTCCCTATTTCTGGTTTTCGGCGGTCAATAAATAATAATCATCTGTGATGCTGATATGGTATTCTTCTTAATAATGTCCGTAAATTTAATGCTACAAAACCTCGGGGGTGCAGGGCGACAGTCTTTTGCGTTACGAGGATTTGCTCAAAGGTCTCTAATGTTTTATGGGTTAGGTCGCCTGTTGTAAATATGCGACGAAGGGGCAAATATGCCGTATAAAACGGGCTGGACGTCATAGTACACCAGTGTAGGCCATGGTTAGGTGGCCAAAACGGAAGCTCTGCCTCTACACAGTCCCGTAATCCTCATTTATCCAAGTCGTTCCCCCTGAGTGTTCACAGAGTAGCCCCCTTTGGTCTTTTCAGAGGCCAAAACTGCTCTGCTAGTGGGAGGAGGATAATAAGACATAACACAGCACTTTTCGGCTTTTGGAGTTAGTCGCGAATTTTGGACAAGCGCGCGGATGTCGTGAAAATGAGTTTTGCAGGATCATGGTGGTTCATGCAAGTGGTTATGCATGATCAAAGACGAAATTGCCACCCTAGCAGATAAATAAAAGCAGCTCAGCTGCGAAACCTACCTGGGGCGTATTACGGGAGGAGCAGAAAGCAGTCTGTATAAAGCCCGCACTCTCAACCTGAGCAATGTCTTGGCTGCGAAGCTTTTCATTGTCAGATGCCAGTACTAGCGGTCTGCAGAGGAAGAAACCGTGTGTTGGGGATCGGTAAAAAGTACGTAATTAAGGATTTTATGAAATGTACCGGGAAGGCATAACGTAGAGGAGTGTGCCCTCTAGCATAAAAAAGCTACTCAAGTGAGATTGACAATGTCGATAATATGAAACAGTCTCTTACCAATAAACACAGTGATATGTTATCTTAACACTGAAAATTTAAAATCTTATAAAATGCGACAATCTATCTGGAAAGACCGACAGATTTTCTGGTATTCCTGCGCACGTCCAAATTCCCAAATTATAACTTCTTAGCCTGAAATGTTAGGCTCTTTTAAACAATGAATTCCAAGATTATTTTCCCTCAATTTAACATAAGGAGCAAATGTTTCTCCAATTTTTCCCCATAAAATTAATTCATTTTGCGAAAAAAAGGGAAAACAAATATGTAATACTTAACTGGCGGTCTTACACCCGTCAAACACGCAAGAAAAGCCTCAATAAAAAAAACCAGTATGTCACTAACTACAGGTTAAAGTCAAACTCATTCACCAGGACTTGTGCCGAAGGCCTTACTTAACTACATCTACATGAAACCATTCGATACAATATGGGTTCAGTTACCAGCCTTGTACTAAACGGGAGTAAACTGATGAGCTTCACCCGAGACTACAATAAGCCCCGCGGTTTCTCTTTTGATGACTGGGTATCTGTCGGGTGAAGATTACACATAATAGGCTGGGAAAAAAGATAACTGACAGTCCGAGAATGATTCCAATATTGGAAAATTAGTTCAGTACGGTATATCTAAGGGTAACAGCCAATTTCACTGAAGGCTTGTTAGATAAATAACACAGGCAGGAAGAAGGAGCAACAAACAAGCTCAGAGAATAGGATCCACTTACTTTAGCTGGATTTTAATATCCTGAGAAGAGTCGCTAAAAAAACAGAGGTAGGACAAATAGGAAAACACAATAGGAACTAACTGACGACACTAAAGCTGACGGAAAACGGATCATGACGTAAACAAAATGGATTTAGAAAGCAGTTCTACGATCGTGGTGGTGGCGGTGGTGGTGGTGGTGGTGGTGGTGGTGGTGGTGGTGGTGGTTGACATCACTCTTCGGAGTTCAAATAACAGACGGCGACTTTGTGACAAACATGGAAAATGAAGCGGCCATTTTGACATATTTGATACGTCGGTGGCCATACCTTAACCTCAAATACGTAAATCTTGGAGTCTCATCTATACACCTCACTAATATATCCACCAGATCTGGTACTCAGGGCCTTAATGCTAGAGAACCTTTGCATGTGCAGTAGTGTTGTATCAAAGCTAGGGGCACGCGTAGTAAACTAATGTCCAGGTAGCGCAAGGATGCAAGAGTTCGAAGAATTATTGTAGTAAAAAAGTATAAGAATCCCCGTGCAAAAAACCACGAGTTACATATTTTTATTCCAAACTGTTAATGCGTTTTGTTACTGCCAAATGATGTGTAGTCAAATTTGCGGCTTCGACGGCTAGTTCATCCATTAGGAGGTAAAAGCGCACTAATTATGCTATTTTCCATGGTTACAAACCAACGCTTCAGTCCTTTCTCAAGATGCGCAATACAAATTCGCTTACGGCGAAGATGACGGACTCCTTCGACGATGGCGATGGCGGTGTCTGGGGTGACGGTCCCTCGAGCTAAGGAGAAAAAAGTGATATCAGTGAAATGAGGGCGGTGGCAGGAGGACTTACTATCATAGTTCCTCACCACAAAAAGCCCTACATATCAGTAATTGACTTGTAGGAAATGCATAAGTCAAGGCCACAGACGATTCTTTGTCAATTACCATTATCGACTTGGACGAAAAGTATTAAGGGTCAATATATCAAAAGTATGAGCCAAATGAGCATGCCAACGATACTACCAGTTCCCGTCATTCAAAATCCGAATGGTCCTCAAACCTTTTAGCGAATGTTGACTCAGGAGAAAACATTACCTATACTTTTATGCAGCAAGGCTGTTTTGTGAACGTTATTATGGTGCCATAAAAGTGTGGCTGTGGAGATTTTGGACAGAGAACTGACATCTACGGAATTGTGTCTTCGAATGCAGGGACGCGAGCAACGATCACCCATTTGTCTGAAAACAACTCCTGCAGAATTGTCCTCAGTAGGTCAGACGCCCTGCAGAAAATTTCCGTTCTTAGAAAGACAGTGAGAAACAAGGCGGACTGGAACGGCAATCGCTGGTTTATTGACCATACTAAAATCCCGAGTTGCATGACCAGGGATTTGAAGGCCCAGATCTGTGTCCATTGAGCGGTTGGAGTGCGACGCTCTACCATCGAGCCGCGGGCCCGCTATCCTATAGGTTCCTATCGAGAATATTATCTGGCGCAGGATTGGCACTAACCCATCGGCTTACGGTACGTGCACGTCCCGTCGAACCGTGGGGTTCGATGTACTGCTCGCCCAGGCAACCCCATGGCGACAAGTAACGTATGCAAGGAGTACTGACAAAGACTACGAGGATTGGGACGACAATTCGTGACTTATCAGCCGTTTTTAGTCCGCCACACCAAAACTCCAGGTTGGTAGCGTGTAAAATTCGAAGTCAGGACCATTGGTCATTAAAGTCGACAAAGCTAACAACCTGTAACCGCCAGAGGACCATAAATCCGGGGTTCGAATCCCCGGTCCTGCGAACCCGAAGATGGGTGTGGCTGGCTGATAATGGCTAGTGATCCATAGATGGTCATTCAAATCTCCCTCGTCTTTGTCGAAAATCACTCCCTGCATGCTACCTGTCGATATGCGACCGCCGGCAAAGGTTCAAGACTGAGCCCCAAGGTTCAACGAGACAAGGATGTCCCTCTAACCCGATCGGCGAACGCACTTCCTATGATAATTCCCGTTTTTGTCGGACAAAAGTAGGTTATCAGAGCAATGGGAAAGATTGCTGCCCTAATTAGCAAACTGCGCTAGTCGGCCTGACTCCATAGTGACTTTGCCTGCAGGAGTCTTCTCCAATAGGCCAAAGGTTACCACCAGCTTCCTAACCCAACTGATGCTCTATCAAGAACCCGCCTTGATGTGAGGGACAGTTGCTGGCAAGCCAGTCCACCCTGCTAAGAATCTGGTCAAGACCTCTGGTCAGGACCACCCTCAGACGCTGCCCGTATAACCACATGACAGCTCTGGTGCTAACATAACACAACGAGCGAAAACGAGACAGTCCTAAGACCTATTCTGACGATCAAGCTATTCCTGCAACTGATGTTACAGAAACCAAGATACCCATTTATAGAGAAATAGTTCAAATGAAACGACGGGGACCGCCTGCTTAAAGCAATGGTCACGCTCTATCGTTCCTGAGCAGAACTGAGTATAGCCGGCGACTTTATCAGTTTTTTGCCGTTACTCCAGCAGGGAAGTGTGTCCCAAATGTTTAGCGGTTCGCAACACCTAAGATCAAATCCGGCTACAGGTCCAGCTCTCCTACTGACTGCCTGAAGACAATGTGTTCCGCAACAAAAGCAGCTGCAGCCGAGCTATACAAGCGTCACAAACTCATCCCTTGTCCTTATGCTCCCACAATCAAGATGATCGAACAAAATAAGCGGACTTAAGGTTTGACAGTTGATTTCTTCCTGGACATTACCTTTATACAACCTTTCGCTGAAAAACCATCCATAGGATAAGACAACAGATTTAGGAATTTGACTTTATAGAGGCAAAATTCATACTACGACTCAAGCGCATGCATCAAACAAGGTAATTGGTGTGCAATACCTCAACTATGCACGCCCGGTAACACGGCTGCTTGCTTATTTTCTTAGGCAGCACATACGTCACTGGACACACCCTGCTCTCCTGGGTTCCTCTTCCCTGCAATTTTATTTGGCGGTCGGCTAGTGAATGGAATGCTCATGTAATGGCTTTTATAAGACGCGCCCAGGTAGCAGTGGACGGGGTAATGCAAGAAATGCAGGGAGCTGGGTCAGTTGGTGTCGATTAGAAACACTAAGGCACACGCACAGCAAAGTGCATAGAGAACGGCCGAGGTGAAACTGCTATCTAGAGGATATTTGATGCTCCTCGGCAAGGGGGGGGGCTGTGCATGGGCGCAGTGAACAATCAGTTTCGAATGTGTCATAGTAACTGTAAAGGTAAAAGCCACAAGCGTGAGGATCACATGCTGGTAGAATGATTTACGAAGATGTTTCATTCGAAACTATACTTCGGGATGAAAGTCAGACGCACCGTGACCGTGACCGACTCCGCCTCCGAGACGACCAGTGGGAGCTAAAAAATAGGGTAAATGACATAAAGCAAAGTCCAGAAAGATAACTGCAGTTGTATTCCGGAAATTCTACGTTTCCGCAAGTCTGAGTAGGTTGCTTTCAGCAAATCGCGTGAACAACATATCATTACGCATGACGAAGGCAAAGACCCTCACTTCTCTACCAGTATCCGAAGAGAATAATGGGAAACAACTGCGGTATTTCAGTGCACGAACGGCAAACATACAAACATACTCACTTCACCAGACAATCATAAAATTAATCGAACCAGTAGAACGCATGATGAGACAAGTTATTTAAGTATATAGCCCGGGTCCAAAATATGTGCTTGATTAACCTGAATAGTACCAAACGTTTACACATAAGGGAATTGTTGGATAAATTCTTTCGTACCTCGAAATGAAAGCGAAGATGGAATAAATATGCTCTAAATATGCTCACTTTTACCTGACTCCAAGGACTGCTTTGTATTCCTCACATAGTTGCCAGCCAATCAACAAAATGTTCTAAATGATGTATGAAACGTACTCGATGCACTGTGATCAACACCCAAATAAGACTTGGATAGCGACGTTCAATCAAATGGCCCTAAATTTATCGAGCAGCGTACCAGTAACCTCACTGGATCTCGCAACTTCAAAGCGCATATCTGTCACGAGGGCCCATGCATTATAAAGATTTTAAAAAAAGATATATACGAACGGATTCGCCATACGGAGGCAAAATCACACAGAATTCAGTTTGCCTTGCTCGCAGCTGCGTCAGGCAGCGGCACAAGATCGGCGAAACACGCGTGTCTGGGCTTTTAGCTAATACCTGTGTTGTTAGTACGGTAAATTATTGCAGAATTCAGTTTGTTAGTAGCAGCTGAGTAAATATTAAACTACATGGGTCTTATTTCAGGAAGGAATAACAAACAGTTTTGCATAGATATCAGCAAAAGTTGGCAGAAATTCACGGTAATCCTACTACCTACGAGTACGTTAAGAGCCAAACCTACGGACTGCAGTTAAGATAAGATGAAAGTCTGGGTTTATGGCTGATATTTAGTGGACCTGGTACATGGGATTATTGGGGTAAATTCAGAGTACACCCTCCACATGCTGATTTTGGCCGCGATTTCCACCATCAAAACCCTGTTTTATTTATTCCCGTATGAGGTCCCACAAAACTTACCCGGGAAGTCAGTCATACACGACGCATTCACGTGTAGCAGGGGCGACTTTGATTCTAACCTTTTGGTTGTGAGGCTGTTATAAAAGATATCGGCCTGCTTTCGATACGACAAGGGCATTCTAAAGATTCGAACAAGTGCTCTAAGATTTCCTCACTTGCAATTTACATCCTCAATGACACATTTCCAAATTCCATTCACAATACTTTATTCATAAGCGCTTCGATTATGAAGTCCTTTTGTGTTACTATTTTGAACAAAGTGAAACAAGGACTCTTGTGATAAAAAACATCCGAGACCGTACCTAGACACTTCAAACATAACAACAAGTGGGTTACTGAATCAAATAAGGATATAAAAGAGAGAAGCCGAGAGTACTTGAAAGCACAGGACGCAGCGATACGCACGCAACAATAGCGACGAGTATGCGGGTAGGATCCTTCATATGTCAAGCATGCTTGTCAGCGATTGCGAATAATCGACAAACTTGCCATCCAACCAAATGACAAGATAGCTCAATCGCGAGATTTCCGAGAAAAGAGTGCATCAGGTAGCTAATCAGTCCTACTAGGAATTGCAGCTCACTTCCCATTACTAACAGTACACATAAAACGACTTGTAAATCGCGTTTTTGATAAAGAATCAAATGTTTTACGTGTCTGTGCTTCATTACAATGAACCCATTTTGCAGGGTTACTGTGCATGCACATGGTACAACTACAGCCTGTCACAAAATTTTCAAGCACTCAGAAAGTTAAAACAAGTCTGTTAAAAACAAGTGGTGTTTTGGCAACAATAAACTTTGAGGCTTCGGAGAAATACGAAACAGGAGGTACTGCAAACAAGAGGGACCATTCTGCACGTCAAACCTGGAGGGCATTCCAAAACAGTGAGCGCGACAGTTCGTTTCAACGGCTGGAGACACAGCTCATTATAAGGATGTAAATATGCGTAGACCTGCTAGAAGAGTTAAATAGGACGGTTGCGTAGATCGTATATCTGAAATCATTAACGTCTATTTAAAATTTTCTGTAATTTGCAGTTAAAATTGTTTATACAGAGACGTAATTTGTTCAAACGATTGGCAGCCTGCCAGGACAATATTTTTAATCGGAACCGCTTTTAGTCCGTTCTATCCCAGCATTCTCACTTCGTATGTCTCCATTTTGTTGTTGACGTAGTGTGTCCTGTCATTCACCGACGAATTTTTCTATTTCCTTATCCTTAATGGTTCGTGTCCTTTGCTGAACCTGCTTTAATGTCCTGCTTATTCAAATTTCCTACGAATTCCTGTATGAATTTTCCGTAAAATAATTCCGAGAAATGAAAAAAAAGACTACAGAACTGCGCACTCGAAATAAATCGAACGCTTCCAGTAGAGATTCACTCATTAAGGATATGCTACCTCTATATTGGTACTAAGTTCATAAAACAAATGCTCTAAACTTAAATATTTTGTGCTAAGATAATCAAATCCTGGTCTCGTATTAGTGTAGATTGCTGCCGCGGTGCTCTCTTCGTTAATCTGACTGTGTCGTTCTTCGCAAGATAAGTTTTTCGTTTTCGAAATCCTCATCAAACCTCCAAATTTCCATCTGGAATTTATGAGAATTGAAACGGTTTGAACATGTTGGAATTCGATTCAAAAACACTATCGGAAAGATGTCATTATAAATGTGGCTTCACGACATAGAGAAACAATTAAACGGGAATGTATTAAATACTGATTACGTTCATTAGATAAGTAAGTAAATAGCATGGACGGACTAAACAGAGAAAACCTTTTCGTCTACTGTGGCTTCAGTTGCCTTCTGGATAATAAACATCTGTCTGTGCATCGCTAGCGTTCCTTTTGATAATTCCTTAATGGGAACCCTCTTTTAAATGCGGAGGAATAGAAAGACCTCGACGTCTTGATGACCTCCTTCTTTAAACCATCACTATATTTTATTGTCAAATGTTTGCCAAATTTGCAAATAGAAAAGGAATCGTCTAAAAAAACCCACTGTGTATTTTTTGACATCAACTAGAATATGCCGTCCGGGCCTGGTGTCCGATGTCTTCGAAGGATCATCAACGGCTGGAACAATTCAGGGGAGGACGACAAGTTGTCGAGAATCGTGGTCATCTGCCTTACGAAACCAGACTGCCCGAAATAAATCTGTCCTCTCCCAATTACAGGCAAGTGTGCGGCGATCTCATTTTAACCTACCGGATTGCCAGAGGCCGTTGGTGTGCCCTAGACTTTGACGAATTCTTCGAATTTGTCGGGACGGACCGTCTACGTGTTCACCACTCTAAGCAGCAGAGATAGCCGGCCCATACGGACGGCCTACGGGGCGCCTTCTCGCAGAGAATCACTAGAGATTAAAACAACATCCTTAATGCTGTAGTTCTTTCAAAAATACTGAATCCTTTAAGTGCTGACCAGACGCTCTTTGCTTCGAAACTGCTGTTAATGAAAGTTTTATTGGCTGCAGTTTGCGCCTGACCTACACTTACCGTTGACCTTTGAATTTCCGGATTTACTGATGTTAAAATTGATCCTATTTCTACTTATCGACGTGAATAGGGCTGAAGTACGAAAGCTTCATTCTCTTGATAATCTTAAGCGACTGAAAGGGTTTTACTTAACTGGAATTTGGGCGGAAATAAGATGAATGCGCGTTGTCACGAACCTACCCAGTCAACGGTACCTTTTTGCTACTCAATTCTTTTATTTCCTTTTTCAGGGCCACGTTCAACGCCCACAAACAACCAGAACAACCACCAGGGTCCCGCTAATGACCAATTTGTCTAATGTCTCCCCTCGTTTATGCAGCCGGCTGCGTTCCCCCCTTTCGTAATCTCATTGTTAGGATTTAAACTACTCTTATCCGTTTTCTCCCCCCGCTTCCGTACCCCTTTATTATCTAACCCGTTATTATAATAGTATCCCATTCAGACTATATTCTTCTAATGTTTGATGTGTGGCGTCTGCATGCCGATCACTGAGGTACTAATACTCAGTCCCCCGTAGGTCGTCACAGCGTCTTCGAATCTCCAGGGGGTTTGTTGGTTCTTACCATTTGCGGGTCCCCGCATTTGGGTACGTGTAACTCTCAGAGCAGTGATCAGCGGCGAAGGTTTGAGGTATTTTACAGCAGTCTTGGTAAACGTCTGGAATACTGACTTGTGATTGACTGTATACCCAAGTAATTTTGACATTAAAGTTGGAGATTAACTATAGAACGGCAACCAATGAAATCGCAGATTGCAAAAACGAGGTAGCCAATTATGTGACAGACATACCTATCTCGATAAATCGCCATTCACGTATATCTACTCGATATCTATTGCTACTAGGGTACTTTCGCACTCGGGCTGCTTTACTAGTAGAAATACTAATTCGTAGAATCCAGACGACCCAGGCGGCCCCTTACGGGAGCAGCATTGACATGGAGAAGGGTGTTCGCATGGTCCTGATTGAGATGTGCAAAACCTTTTTCCTGCGCAGTGTTTGCCTGTTTTGTGACTTTTTTCTATAAGTACACGTACCCACTGCCTCTTCTTGAATGCTGTGTTGTTATTGCATGCAACTGCCAGTAGCTCGCCTTTCAGACTGTGGGCGTTGTTAAGCCTCAGAAGCGGCCATCTGGTTCACTATCCAAGGCGCCACTCCATAAACTCCAAAAGCGGTTGTGGTATTTTTAATTTTGAATGCATCATTCGTAAGCTTGTATGCGTGTTACTGTGGTTATAGGCCCATCTGACCAGCCATTGACAGTTTTCGCCCGATGCGCGCAGATAACTCCTTTTATTTGCCTTTTTGCAGGCCACTGCGTCCGTACGAGGCTCGAAAACTGTTTTTGTACGTACTTCTTAAATGTTCACTCGCTCGGATGGATGCGCCAATATCCACTTCACAAAAGCCATCCCGGTCTACCTACCCTCACGCAGCTTCTGCTGCAACCTCTCATACACAAATGAATTCTGCCGCTACAAATGCCTTCTCAACTACGTCGGGGGACCATATTGCGCCGATTAGTGGCAAAAGTGGTAAGGATACTTTCCGAAGAGAACGAATTTGTCGCCCAGTCTTAAAGTCTATTATTATTCATCACGTGGATTTGTAATTTTCGTTTTTTGGGACGCCTGAAGGTCTTCGACGCTGAACATACTCGATTGTGTGGTGCGGCTCGTCCATTCTTCATCCGCCACTTGAATTTAGTCCACCATATCGCCGTAAAAATTGCTCTGCCATAACCTCGTCGAACATGCCCAGACAAGTTCGAATGGCAACAGGCACTATCCACACCACGGGTGGATCGGTTGCAGCGAAACACATATTTGCTATAATAGCGTGGGGGATACCGACAAAGAGAGTAATATTACCAGAGCTGTAACCACAGCAGACATATCATTTGCATTGCCTTATGATTGCATCTCACCCATAAAGTAAATTTGAGTATTATTAGGGAGCCTTGTTGAACGTCGGCCCCACCCTCCAAATCCCATAGTGATTCGGTGGGATGACTTCATCGAGATGACTGGGCACGGGACTATGCAGGATTGCTTACTCGACACAAGCATTATTCACTCGTGTCATCACATGGATCGTTCCTAATTATTAGAAAAAGCGTGCTGCGCACGCTTGTCAGCGAGTTGGGGCAGGCACACCGGCTTACCTCATTCGGTTTAGTTCGCTAGTCGAAACAGTTACCAGCGTGTGGCTACCTTGCTGTGAAGGCACAGATAGGAAGTGGACGCAGGGCACAATCACCACTTCGTGTAACAAGTCACCCAGTTCAGTTACAAACTGGACAAAGTATAACCTCACCTCTGTGCCTTACCTGGCCATCTCGTTCGCCCGACATCTAGGTAGCCTTCTTCCGCAGATCCTTACTCTTCCCCGCTTCGCCGAAAATGCCAATTCAATCATCCATACCGTTACCCTGAACTCTTTCCTCTCGCTTTTAAGTGCCAAACGCTGTGCCGTTGACTCGACCTCTCCAGACTGCTAACGGAAAATTTGCCAACCCCTGGGACACATGGCAAGATGTCGTTACCAACATGAAAGCGGCATTTGCACTTTTGACCAGTAATGCAGACGAGGGCTATGCCCCCTCCCCATCAGATTCGCAACTTGATCTTCATCTGCCAATCAGAAAGCCAACCTTTGGTCCAGCCTTTTCCGATAACCCTTCCTGTGGAATCCGGGCAACCTGGCTGGGCCATGCGTCAGTCCTATTTAACGTTGATGGATTAAACATTCTCTGTGACCCAATTTTCAGTCGGCGTTGTTCTGCTATTCAACTAGTTGGCCCGATCAGATTCAGACCTCCGCCCTGCAAGGTAATATCGTGACACCCGTCGCTGCGCCTTTATTTCCTTTGCCTTTGAGCTAAACAATTCGTTGGACTGGTATTGCGCTTCAAAAGATAAACTCAGCTAGATTTGAATTCTACGCTGCTGTAATGGAAGAAATTGCACAATACAAATTTTTTTATCTAGATATTTGTCAAGTCAAATAGTTATCGAGGACTTCTGGGTTCAGCCCGTTTTGTGAATCAAGATTGTATAGACCTGCTCTAGACCTGAGTGGGTCCACCTAACTATCGTGAACAGTGGATAGCAGTTTCCATGATTCTAATGCCTCTTTGGAGAGGAAGCACTGTCTAGTCCGCAAACGTCCCCAGATAGCAATTTAAAAGGTGAAAAAGGACGGATTCTTGCAACCTCACGCTGGGTTCCATTATCTTAGGTGTTGGTTTGATGTCGACTTGGTGGTTAATTCGCTGAAGTCCGAAAAGTTTACATCTCATCGGGTCTCGCTTTACTACTCTTCTTGATCTAGCTCGGCTTCGTTTGGCCAACAGTATTGATGCTGTATACTGCCTGTTCCGCGTGTTTGGTGAAAATCGTCCCGCGAGACTTCAGCGTCTTTGTTGGCCATAAGTTTTGGATTTACTGAAGAATGTCATTTCCGTCCCCACCTTAGCCATCATAAACTAGCTCTCCGCAGCTTTTCAGCAAGTGACTTTCCAAGATTATTCGAATAGCGACGCACCATGGCCTGTCCCGCTCGGCCTAGGACTTCACACTTATTAAACTGGAGTTGGTCAAAACAAGTGCGAACCCAGGCTTTCACTGTTTCTGACTATGAAATTTCTTGAACAGTCTTCTGCTGTCTAGGTTTTTGCAGTCTTAACCTTTTTTGATCACAGCATCCTTGCGGCATGTTCCTTGCTGGCAACAGTCATGCAGACCCTGGTCCCATCGAAAATTTGTGCTTTAAATTTTAGTGATTTCGCTGAGAAGCAGAACCCAGGGAATTCTGCTGTTCATGTTCGTCTTAATGTTATTGTCAGATTTCGGACTCGAATCCTTACTATTGACGCCGACTCCTTGCCGTGCTTGTAATGCGCCTGAACTTCCTTCTCCCACTACCGAGTCTTCCTCATTTTCTCTATGTTGACCTGTCTCTCCCCTGTTATCTCTCATTCACGTCTAGATAGCAGACTTACCGCCTCTCGACGCAGTTGTCATCTCGCACAACCACTTTGATCACATGGACGTCAACACAATGACTGCGGTTGGGAAGCACTCACCCAACGCACTCTGGTGTGTCCCCTTGGGGTGTAAAAATTTCACTGAAAACGTCTTACGCCCAACGAGACATGAACGAACTTCTGGACCGAATGTGTGGGAGGCTCTCTGGTGGGATGAATTTACCCTGAAGCCGTCGGAGGGTGAAGGTGGTCCCTTGAAAATCGTCTTTACACCGACTCAGCACTGGTCCGGCCGAAGTAATTACTTTCAATTTTTTTCGGTATGTTTGCCTTCCGAATTTTACTGCAGCCCGGTGGCACTGTGTTCCGCTGGCAAAGATTCCTTAGTTGTGTCTTTGTTAGTACAAAAACAGAATTCTCATTGTTATGATTACCTCCACTGCTTGCTTACCTGTCGTCATGGTTTTCGCCTTCCTGGGTAATGGGTGCCTATGATCTTTTGTTATAAACGACTCCTGTCTTCATTGTCCCCAGACTAGTTGACATTCTATCCGTGAATGCGAAAAATTTTATTCAGTGCTCACCGATCCACGAAGCTTCATTATGACGAAAGTTGCCTTGGACTAATTACTTTTCGAGATTACTCGCCTTGTGTTGCGCGCAACTCTGCATTTCGTAAGCCGACTGTTTTTGATCGCTCCAGCATGCCTACATGCTCAGCGTGGTCTACTAGGCGGAACCGCTAAACTATGTCGAAAAAAATTACATCTTAGCCTCCCGTGGTTGATGTAGGCTCGTGTCACACGGGTTTGAGACTGCATGGTAACGAATTCGTAAACTCAACATGGAAGGATGTTCTAATGTAAACACGGGAGCCATTTCATGCTGATTATTTCACATTGTGAGTGCGTATATCGCTTTGTATGTTGATTTTGCGTCCTACAGTCATAAACAACCGCCTAACATATGAAGCAGTACTACTTTTTGCTTCTAACCTGAGGGAGTCGAGATGATGGGACGCCCGTCTGTGTATTGAAAAACTGTATCCTCACCTCCCAAATAACTAGCTGGGAACTAAGAGGGATAGGTTTACGTCTTCGCTTCAGCGAACATCGATGACCCCCCTTTTCACTAGATAATGCATATCACCTCTTAGGGTGCACCAAAGCCTGCATTTTTTGGAATAATCATACTCACTAATTTCCGTCTCAGATCAGAGACTCGGGCGTCTTATCAGACGTCAAATCTTTGTATGGAAAGAAGGATTAGGTAGACAGTCTGACAACTGTTGATGATCGTGGACCGCGTCTTTAGTTTGATTGGTTGGTCTCTCTCAGTTGAGCTGGTAATGATTTGAGTCGGGTGATTAACCAGGTTGAATCCTGGCAGCACAACGGAATGTTACCTCAACTCTATTCACCTGACTAACAGTGAATACGAACGTTATCGAGGTTGTTTCGGCAGGCACTTTGAGGTTGTAATTATCTTTGTCGACCTTTTTGTAATCGTAGTCATTCGTACCCTTAGATGCATACAAGCAAGATCTCAGTCTGAAACCTGTGGCAGCTACTTTAGGACAAGCCGATGCTCAACACCCAAACCATTGCGCCACGGTTCGACTTGTAACACTACTTTTGCCCGTAGTTACTTCAGCATGCCCACAGTTTCTTAGGAGTAATTCTCTCACACAGTTACTCCACATGACTATTCCTTACTTCCTCATTACGAAGTTCGCACCACGTGCACTTCTATCATAACGATTAATGCCGTACATTGTTTTAAACTACGAAAAGTCAATCCTCCTGCCACCGTTTTGAAGTCAACTGCATAAAATATAGGGGACAATCCTATGATTTCGGCGCAAGCCTCCGCCTTACTTCCACCCTAGACTATTCGATGCCATGTTCGTTTAGTCTTTTATTAAGCACTTTACCTCCAATTGCTTTGTAATTCTGTCTGTCTAACACCATAGAGCACATGTGCTATTCACCGCTGGGCCCGCCTCGTGGGGTAGCAGCGGATTTCGTCGCCTGTGACATTCGAAATAGTGTGTAGAGTGGCTCAGCTGTCTGTATACCAAATGGATTAACAACGTGGACCCTCGTAGATTTTATCGGGACCCTATTAGAGCGGCCTTCAGATTGAGGCAAGAAGCAGGCCTTAGTGGCTAACATAGCCAACTCCACCCACCGGCAGTGTGATTTCCTTTCTCTCTAGGCATCAGGCTGATCAGTCCAGGCCTGACTGGCCCACACAACCGCAAATTATAAAGTTGGCATTATATGAACATGAATTCCCTGTGCGTTCTGACTGCTCTGTGTCTGCAATGACTAGGAAGAAGTCTGACAACTTTTTGCCGGTCCTTATACGGCATTTTATCCTTATTTCACGAACACCTAGAGCCTGTGGGGCAGTTGGGCAATAATTGGGCCACGTCATCGAGCCTGGTTCGCCGGGGACACGGGCTACTGTGCTGGTTTCAAGGAGATTGGCGCCAAATATGGTCCATTTGATGTAGCAGCTATTCCAATCGGTGCCTACAAGCCAAGGTAGGTCACTTTTTGACCCGCTCCGTACACTTTTATTGCGTATTACCCACGTCTTCGCCTTTGTCCTCAGAGCTGTTTGTTTCGTTGGTCTGAAATCTCTTTCACGGCAACCTAGGATGTCCATCTAACTGAGTACTCTGTTCGATCGCTTGTGAATTTTAATACAAATACTTAGGTTGTCCCCTCCCCCCTCTAAGTGGTTTATCGTTCACTAAAGGTTTGATCTCCACCTGTATGAGCTGATACTTTCAACGGCCAATATTATACCTCATGCAACTCATGGTGCTTCCGCGTTTTCCTTAAAGCCATGGCCTGGGCCCAGCCCAACGTCCGGACTTGAGGCGCGTTCCCCACAGATTGTTGAAAAGTTAATGTAACTCACTCCGCGCTCAACCGTTCCAGCTGCAAAATCGAGTCAGAACAGTGGGGAAGGCGTAGATTTTTTGTCAACACTCACCTTCTGACTTCGCTGATGGTGACAAAAGAAGCTTGTTATTTTCGCTGGCTTCTCGAGCTGCCGATGGCTGTATTATTGTCTTTTTAATTGAAAATACCGGGAGGATCAGAAGTAATCAGCCCGTTCAGTTTACAGCGACGGCTTTCTCAAACATTTGTTTAGTCCGCGTGCATGAGCGAAAATGGTTTTCGAGGCACACTTGTAGTGTTAATTTGAAGAACGCGAATCATCGAACTTGTTATTGCTACGCAAATAGATTGCTCGAAAACAGGTGATAGGGTTTATTTATAAGGCAGCAATCAAATGTGGCTTGTCAACGCATAGAGAAAATGAACAGCTTTCCATACTCTAGTTCCTGGGCTCCTTCCATCATTTACTATGGTAAGAATTGATCTGCCGCACAAACGCAACCTGAACCACTGAAAACTACATCGTGTGGTAAATTCACGTCAAAACCTAATATCTATATCTAACAGGTATTTTTTTGCAGTAAATTGTACTCTCCACTTGCTGGTCTCAAGTCCTTGTATAAGATCTGTAGGACTTCGGAGAGTTTAACTGCTGCTACTACCCCGGACCACTCAGGCGCCAATATACAACTTCCTACACGAGGAATCCCGAACTGTGCCGACCAAAACAGCCTACTTTGGGAGGTTCTACCGTAGTGATCGCACTTCCAGAAGACTTTCTTGAGATTTTTCAATGAACACGCTGTAGAATGTGGGACCACCACCGTTGCTTAGAAATCGGTCTGCCCAGTGAGCAGGACTAGGAACTAAAGCCAACCCGATACTCTACGACTTCTACATTTCCCGTTCCAGACAGTCCACTGGAATTGTCCAACTGCTGTTCTTGTCTGTATTTACCTGTACCACTATCAAGGAACTGGTTAAATATTTACAAATGAATTCCACGTGCGATAGGACTTAATTCGTAGCAAATATCGTGTCTTAATTCATTTCAAAAGAACGTCCTCCGCCACCGATTTTTGCTTTGCTAACTGCAACTGAAATCCTGCTAGCAATATGTGTTTCGCCAACTAGGTGAAGGTTCGAAATAATTAAGTTGAAAACTCTTACAATTCTAGATTTTATGTAGAAAAGAATAACTATTTCAACGCTTTTGGCATTGACTTCACGACCAGCTAGAGTTGTTTCTGAACTATTTTCTCAGATGAACCTTCATCAAGTTTGACAGTCAGGCCGATAGAAGCGATCGTTTCTTAAGACGGCGATACCTGATTGCCTACTTTTCTGTTTTTTGCCGAATTGACTCTCGGACCTCTCATGTTTTTGTCTACAGACATGCCTTGCAGTATCAGCATATCGATCCTGCCGAGGCCGTCAAGGTTCATCAGGACGTCAAAGCCAAGTATTCTATCGGCATTCACTGGGGAACCTTTGCGTTAGGCCGCGAGGCAAGTTATTTTTAAGTGTGTTTACTGTAAAAGATACGCTCGGCCAACATTGCTCATGACCAGCCTTCATAGTGTGTTCCTTCGAAGTGCCCAGGGCTCTTCCTCGATAGGTATGTTGGTTCGACGCGTTACACTGATTGTTGCTTCGAGTAGTGCAGGAAGCTACCCGCTCCTTCGAAATTTCGGACTGCCAGCGATTACAGTGGCTTTTTTTCTTGAATTTGCCACTTTGTCCCTCTTTTTGTTCAAACAAGGAACAAGTCACTGTCCATCGACATGTAGGTGTTTATAAGGTATCGGCAATCTAAGAGTCACTCGCGGGAGAAGTGCACAGGCGTTTTGGCGTTTCGCATGGCGGATTTGGCCACCAATCCTTATGGGCTGTGAAGTGTTGTGTACAACTTCCGTTCCAGTGGGCTTGACATTTAGATGATGAGTTCCGGTCGTGCGAGACAAGATCCAGGGTTTCGCTTTTGTTTTTGTCTCGGGCACTATCATGGACTCCATAGAATTCTCGGTCATTTTAGAGCACGAGAACCTTATTTCGACAGCGCGCTCTATCCGGATCAACGGCAGAATGACGATCATTATTTTCGCGTTGACTGATAACTCCCTAAACGTCTTTTGCGCATCGCTTTAGTAAAATATGCACTATCCGGTGTGACATAAACCGTGAGGTAACCTAATGCCAAAGTTCTTTGGACTTGTCTAACACGTTGTTTTGGTATAGCACTGAATCAAAAGAGGCCGTTAAGGTTACCGGATCAACATCATGCCCGTTAGAACATGCTTCTCTTTAAGGAACCTTTGTTTAAGCCTCAGTAGGTTTCCGACGAGAGATTATACACCAGACTTTGCGCTCAACTTGGGGAATTTGGAGGAGTTTCAGCACTGCGAATAAATACGGAAGTCAGTCCTCTTGGGTGCACTGTCTTCGACCAATTGGCGACGATAATGTATAGGTACTTGACCAACGCGCTGCAAATTCCAAGTTACAATAGAAGCGACTAATTCGACCGTCGCCATTAATCAGGCAATGCTGACATGCGCGAATGGATTCGTCTCTGGTGTAGGGGACTTTCACCGCATGTTCCACCACACCCTTCCTGCGCCCACCGTGCTTCTATGACAAAACAAGGTCATGACCGGAGATGAGCGCTGGTGTTGCGGCCGATACAGCCAATTGGTCCTTTCGCACGTGCCACACACGGCCTTGTTCTTACCCCCACAAAGTTGGCGCCTTTCCTCATCGTTCTCATCGAACGGGTTTCGACGTGTTTTTTTGTTTTGTGCAAGTCCAACGGCTTCTGTGGCACCTGCATGAATGGCGTACCGGAACTTTTTTTAGACTTGCTCAACATCCTCATCCTCTGTTATTTGCATGTACTCTGGACTGATGTCCATTTTATTGGAGAGTACTGTCAGCGTCCAACCAGATACAGTGCCGTCGCGTTCATCTTCGTTGGTGCCTCTTCCCTCTGAGACCGTCTCTGCGACTGGACTTGCTGCCTCATTTTCGAGATAGGCAGGTGGTGATTAGTCCACCACTATCACGCGCACGCCTCGGTTATCTTGTTTCCTGACCAGCATATGGTCCCACACTTGCAGCGAAAGTTACCCGCGAAGTAAGCAGGCTGTCTGACCTGACGAATAATTAGTCTCAGACTGCGGCGGACCCTGGTGTTAAAGCACAGGACGACATACATACATACAACATGTGTGTACCGCTGGCTGTCTGTTAGCATTCTATGAATACTACGCGATTATTCCGTTGTAATATATCAATTCCGGCCCAATTATTCATGTCAACCTTTGAATTGAGCCTATAAACCTTAATTCCGACTGATTAACTCCAAGTTAGGGCTTTAATCTCTGAGGGAGCTTACGTAGCCGACATTTCGAAACTAGAGCATCTGCCGCAAAGCGCACAGCGAACGCTGGGTGGCTCACTGATGAGCCGGACCCCTTGCAGTTGTGTCATACATCGGTAGAATATCGGCGAAACATATGCCTGGGCTTTTAGCCAGCATCTATATAACGACATACGGCAGTTCAACCGTCATTACCGGCAATGTCCACTCAGCATGGTAGGCGTTTGGACCGTGATCTGCGCGTAGATTGATTTATGGTGACTGCAGGCTTGCGTTGCATCTACCACCCCTTTATGCGCTCGGTGTCAAGACAACTAAGACCGCAGACGGGATCGGGCGCGATGTGAACCTGCGCCTAGGCGCGCCATTACACCCCCATTTGTGGAATCTGTTATGGGTGCGCATCAAAATAACGTGTGCCAGATCCGGATCTGGTCCTCGTGTTGGCCCAGAGCATTTACTGCGTGTCCCGTTATATGGTGCAAACTAGACGATATAAGCAGTAAACCCCAATCCTCAAGTGCAGCTAGTTTTGCGCTAACTGCATTAAGTGATATACCGTCTGAGTCCGACAGCCTGAATGTAAATTTCTTCGGCAAAATTTTCGTAGCATATGTTCGGTCGCATTTTTAGTACAGTGTGCAAGCTTGGAGGTCATGACCAAAGAAACATAAACGTGCTACAATAGCAGTGTCAGTGCTAAATTTTACTGGACATCCCCGCAGATTGTGTTTATTATAACCTGTTCTTTCTCAGTCAAAGGCAAAGCAGAAACGACCCAATTTTGACCTTCCAAATGCCAAAAGGCTTTGACTTTGAAATCGACTATGAATAATTTTCACAGCTGATGTCGCGATCGAGCTTACTGAGGACACTGCTGGAAGCCAGGGATGGGCGAAAGAAGCCAGTGCTGAATTCTCTCTCCGAGGGCTCTCCGCAAGTGGAATGCTCTCTAAGTAGTTGAGGTTCATATCGTCACCTTCCTTGAGCCGCGTCTTGACTGTCACTGGCTTGTGAAGTTTGGTAGGCAGTAGAGGAGGACCCACATAGACACGTTATGCTGAGCATTGCCCAAGACATACCATCGTTAAGTTGCATACATGCACTACTCGTCTTATTTTAGTAGAAAGTGTTGCTTTAATGTCAGTGTCGAAGAATGACGTGACCGCCGTCCTGTTTGGGAATTTGAAATTTTCTTTCGGAAGAATCTCCATAAAGGCTTAATGGAGTCAACAGTGGCACTGGTCTAACTTCAACTGCAATGACCAACTAGCCTCAAGTACGAGTGGGCACCGACGTAGCAAATCAGTTGCAGAGAATGTCTTTAGGTTTTGCCCGCCGTCTGACATAATCCTTCATCCCTAAGCAGTGATATCGGAGGGGCGAGTCGAGATGTCCACATCTGAATCCGGGAACTACGGCGTAATATCCGCTCCACCACCTAGCTGTCCCACGCGGCCGCTGCCCAACGAGTCACGGTTTAACGTGGTTTTTGACGAATGGGGGCCATGATCCGCGTGCTCTGTTTTGGAGTTCCTGATGACCGGTGGAGCCGAGTGAATTAACACTCCAAAAGCAGCAACTGTGCGGGAGATGCAGGAGTTCCACTAATTTGCCCAATTTTGCCTAATTACTTGCACTGGCCCGGTGGCAATTTGTCGAGGACTTACGTGTTTGCCAACCGGTCTTCTGGATAAACTCTGACGAGGCGGGATGTCCAATTTGGGCCAGAAAAGTCAGCAACCAGAAGCTAGTAGGAGGTACTTCATTGAAAAAGCAGCTGGGCGAATTTTTGTATTACGAGGATGTTTTCGGGATGAAAATGAGACCAAGACTTTTTAAAATAAAAATTATGTGGGTGGTTTCCCTGCTAGGCCGAAGGCAGTTTATAGTGAGGAACGGCATCGGTTAGAACGATTCCACCTATATGATTGCATATAAAGTGCGTAGCGGATAGGCACGCAGCGGTGAGGTTATATCTATGAAGTATCATGATTTTGCTAGTTAAAATCCGGTAAGCATCCTGCAATTTAACATTCGCAATTCAAAAAGCCAACAAGTAATACAAATAGTATGCCTTAGTCAGCGCCCTGTCCCGGACGCTGGTCGCGGAACAGAGGGGTTTGTGAAGTCATTTCCACAACTCATCCAAACAGCCTGCCTGTAGCTGGTAAATTACTTGACATTCCTCTCCACATCACAATTCTCGCCGCTATCCCTGATTTGACATCTGCTGACTTGTCGGTCATGGGGATATTTTACGACCCTTTACAGCACTATCTTGCCCCAAAGAGGGACCTAACTGTGGCTCTCGATGAGGCCGGCCTCCCCGCGTCTGTCTTTCGAACCCTCTTTCATGGGCAGTCACTGTGCTACCGCCGTGAACCTACCGAGGAAGTGCTTGAGGACTAGCGTCTACGCCAGAGCTCAACAGGATACAATTCATGCAGCTTCATGGACACACCTCTGCGATACAACTTTCTCCCTCCAGCTTCCTTCCCTGTCTATTTGCCGCCATTAACTTTGTGCCCTGTTCGCTAGCTATTTTGCCATCCCATGCTATTTTATCATGCCATGACTTTATTTTTTTCCGTCTATTTTTTATCCTTTGTCAGTCCTAGTGATGCTTTTCTATTCAAAATCTGCCAAAATGTCAATGAATTCCATTTTATGTCTTTGACATTCTTGTGTATCTCACCAGTTAAAACTGGATGGATTTGATCAAAAAAAACATGAGCTATGCGAATGTTAATATGCATAAAGGGTTATTATCGAGATTATGAACCTATTGTCTTTGCCTAAGGAGTTGGCTTCTTAGTGGGAGATATTATTGACGGTACATGGGTACCGACGAAAATAGGATACCGTACTATCTAAAGCTATTTTTCCCGGTAGGGATGGTCTCTGTTTGTTGGAAACCTTGCGTCGGAAAGTTATAGTCGTGGTATACTAACCCAAGAAGACTTTCCAATGGCATGGTTTAGTCGTAGGGCGCCATTCTGAAGAAATTATGAAACAGAATTTTTTGGTGGGCCGTGGTCCGCTGCCCCTGCCTCAGTGTTTCGCATACTTCCGGGGCCACTGCACATGAATTCGTGTGCCGAAACCAAATGCTGAGATTGCATAATTTTCATGGCAAAAAAACAGAACATGCGTGGATTGGTGTAGGATGAATTGATTGGAGAGAGGGCTTGGTGGCCCACAGGCGGGCCCAGCACTTCGCCATCCACCGCGCCAAGCCCCTATCTTCGGCCTTAATTTCAGTCAGCGAGTATTTCAATCTGTCAGTGATATGAAGGTCACAGCTATAACGGGGGGGGGCCTGACCACTTTCTCGCCCCGGCGGGGGGATGCTATCTCTGTATGTGGATCAAAAGTGTGGACGCCCCGTTCACAGCAAGCCATGCCTCGTGAAACAGGTCGTCCATGTGATTGATGGGGCTTCATACCGTTGTGGTGTTCATATTTTCGGGGTTGAGGTCTGGACCGATGACCCGCTCTACTCTCCGGCATCGACTAAAGGACAGTCTCCGTGAATAGCAGTGTGGTTTTCCCGCATTTTCTGTAATAAAGGACCTTTTTTGTGAAGCACAAGCACATAGATAACGGTCAGAATCTAGAGTTGCGGCTTCGCTTAAGCAGCTCCAGTTTGCCAAAATTGCGGTCAGCTTTGTGCTCGCAGTGTGGAATCTGCCGGAAAGGTCGTTAAAGAAAGTCGCTTTAATTCAATACATATCCTAATGAAGAAATCCGCAAATGACTCTCCATGTAAACGACGAAACTACTTCGGTCATGGGAAGACAACACGAGATTAATTTTCCCTTTGATGCCCGTATGGACGGAGTCCCCAGAGTCGCTCTCAGTCATCTGATGTGGCGATTGGACGAAAACGTCTGACAGGTGAATAACCTGTCTGTCTGCCCTCTCCCCCTTCCCACGCCCACATAACACCAAGATTTCACGCAAAGGGTTGATAGAATGACGAGGACAAGGCACTGGTATACGCTGGGTTGACGAGACCGGACCTACGCGTACGTTCAAAAATACGCCAAATAAGACACACATTTTAAATTCCACGACGCACTACTACTCGAGGCTTTGAAGAATGTAAACTGAGTGGATAACTCGGGGCAAGGGTATAGTTCATGGCCGGCGTTACTTACTTTCGGAAACATTTGCATTGAGCAAAAGAGCTGAATATCTAAGAACTTTGTAGTATCACGCATTCCGATCCTCCATATTGTCATCCCTTAAAAGGTGATACTATTTTTTTACCATTTAATGATAATAGTAAATGAATTTAATGCCCTTTCGAATGCGTCGTCAGAAAGGTACTGCATTGTCGTATTTTTACTCCGATGACTACCTTAAAGCATCTTGACTACCCTCACGCAAAAGCCACCTCGTGGTCTTATTCATTCTCTGGCAAGCACAAATAAGTATCGCCAGTTATTTCCTTCTAGCACAAATGCCCTCCGGAGTAAGGAGCCCTGGCCATAAACCATACCCTTGCCTAACTCGGCGCTAGTCAGCACCGAAGGTCAGGCTGCAATGACTCCTGACTTCAAACTTCTGACCTGGTGACATGTGTAGAATTAGAGACTAGGCCGCGTGCGACACATGTGGACGGGTTGTTTAGCCTTGTCAACCACTGCCTTCGGTCATTTCAATTTCGTCTTGTCATAAGAAGGCGGTGGATGCAGGAAGATAGGGTGGGGCGGGCGCTTCGAATGTCTGCATCTCTATAAGCAAATTCATGCCTAAGCCATCGATGAACCTACCTAGTGGATGTGCGACGAAAGCCGTTGACTGCGACAGTCGAAATGGCGATAGGAGTACACAGAGTGCCGTGGATGGAGACTCACGTTGCAACGGCACGATCACTCCGCGGTCGTAGATATGACTGAATAGACGTTGCAAGACAGTACCCTACGGAGTGTGCACTGCCGCAGATATAGTACCATCGAATTTGACCAGTGGGGAGGTAACATACATGACATCGTCTGGGTCGGTTTGCGCATGCACCACCATGGTCATATCGATGAATCTGGTGGATGCCTCTACTCCGCCCCGTCTTGACCCTACCTCTCATCTCTTGATTCATGGAGCCGTACTCAACACGGTGACCAACCTCAACAATCGTCCCTTATTAGCGACTTAAATCATGGAAGGCCCTGGTGTGTGCGGATATTTATCGAAAACTGTAGACCCTTCCCTCCGTCTAACAGCCTTTCCTGTCATCTCATCTGGATTAACCGATTCATCCGATCACGGGAAGCGATTTATCTGCGGGATGCCTAGGCTGCAGTGATGATTAAATCATCTCTTATTGCCCATGTTGCCATCTTCAGTACCCCTTCTAACTGCTGCGCACAACTCGAGTTTTATTGTTCCAGACGCTCCTCTATGTATTAGGCTGTGCGCGGATTCGGCCGACAGCCCAACACGCGACTGCCAAAGATGGTCGAGGAAGGTCCAGGACCTTGACAGTCCGGCCACTGAACTGGTGTTCGTCGCCAATGTCCCACTTCGCCGTGAGATTATCTGCCCACCACCCTGCGGTACGGACCAGGAACCTACTAATCGTAACGGAGCATAGGGGAGGCCTCACCAAGGCGACCGTTCTCCATCAATCCAACTAACTTGTTGCACCTTCTCCGATAGGTCACACGCACACACAATCAGGCTCCGACAAGACGTACTATCGCTGGAACAAGGGCTTTGTTCGCCTGACGTTTCGGATTCTCACTTTAACCCATCATCAGAGACAGTGGCAGAAAAGGGGGACTCATTCACAGGAAGTTGCAGTATTTATAGGATGCAGTCGCTATGCTACCGCATACCTATAGTAATAAACCGCACTCTCCTTCATCAAGGATTGTCGCCCGCTGGTGCGCTAATTGCTTGATAGTCGGCATGCAAGTTGCTAATGGCTGAGACCTCATCACCCGTGTTGGATGCTGGCGTGATGATTGCTCGGCCATCTGACTCACCGGCTTGCGCGCCCCCCGAGTGCTTAATTACTTTGGCCAGCCTATGCCTCAGTACGGAATATGGAGTGGGGATGTCGTTGCACTTGTTGATTGACTGAGGTCCCGTAAACTATGACTCAAGCAGCTCGCGGCTCACGCGATTATCACCTCTCGCAAGAATTTCGGCCTCATCGAACTTGAATGTGTGGCCGGGTCTCGTCAAATGGGCTGCGATCTGAGAGCTGGCGTCATTTTTCCGTACCGCTGCCGCGTGTTCAGCAATTCGCATCCGGAGCAGTCTTCCAGTTTCTCCGACATAGTTGCTTTGTCCGCAACTGAACCAGATCCGGTAAACGACTCCAGATGTTTCTTGCGGTGGCAGTGGGTCTCTTGGTTTCATCACCTGACGCCTCATGGTTGCCTCCGGTCTGTGTGCAAATCCAACCCCAAGTGGTGCGAGAAGGCGACTAACGGCCTCAGAGACGTTCTTAATATACGTGATCGCTCGCCGGAATTTGGGGTCGGCACGATTTTGTTGCTCGTCCAATTTAGGGTATTATCACGTGTCCCTTCACGGGGGAAGGAGCTAGAATAGGTGCTATAAAAACTACCAGCAGATAACTCACCGGCAAGCCCTCCGTGGCCTGTGGATGCGAAATATACGGTGGAAAGGTTATGTGGAACAACAACGACAACCCATGCAATACCCGGGACTCCTCGCAATACGTCTGAGTGGTACTGCTCACTCTGACAGCCGGAATAATTGTTCACCTCCCAACAATCAAATGGCAAACCGGTTAGAAAAGAAGAAAGCTCTGACTAGCAGGAAACTGGTCCGCCACAAAGTGAACGTTGCGGCTGTCAGTCAAACCCGCTCTTCAACCATGGTCAACCGGGAGTGATGAGTGCCACACATGCATTCTTCTGGAACGGACGATGGAGCCACATTCGCGATCATGGACGAAGTTGTGAGACGACTGTCCAACCTGCCACAGTATGACAGCAACCGCCTTACGACCATGAGACCGCCAGTCCGCAGGAACACACCCGTCGTATTCGTCAACCCCTTCGTCCCCACCCCCTCTCCCTCCCCCACATATAATTAACCCCGTCGATGTGAAGGGGAAAGTCCACAAAGATCAGCGTTTCCTTACTAACGACTGGGCGAAAGGCGGGTAAATCAATTATTTCCAGTGCCCGCAACGGCACAGAACATGTTATATGCGAGGGCGTGTCGGGTCGCCGCGGGATCGGCATTTGCAACAGCAACGGACATAATCTCCTGCAGGTTTGCAAGGAACACATTCTTCTGACCAACATCTGTCGTCTCCTGATGCGGAAGAAGGCAGCACGGATGCACGCACGTACGCTCGCATCACAGGCAGCTGTTGGACTACGTCCTTGATCGGGACTTTATCAGCGCAACGTGCTAGTGACTAG